AGAAATTAATATACAATGCAAATGGAAAATTATACAATACAAATAAAAATTATACAATACAAATGAAAATTATACAATACAAATAGAAAATTATACAATACAAATAAAAATTATACAATACAAATGGAAAATTATACAATGCAAATGGAAAAGATCGAATATTGCAACGTTTGACATGCCATACTGCACAGTCGTTCTAATCATTGTGCATCATCTAGACGTTTCTGTTTACCCACATGCACGTTTAAGTGGAAGAATTATTTAGACGATGCAGATCATGCGTGTAAAACTTTTAAACTTCAACAGAACTTGTTCTTATATTTCAATACATTTTTATTATGCCGCCGTAATCGTAGATTCTGGGGCATATACTTTTTGCTCTAATCTGTATGTCTGTTAATCTGTTTATCTGCAAAAACTTCAACCCTGCTTATAACTTTTGAACGCTGGTGCTAGGGCTTTAATGTAATTCTCTGGTGTATTTCTTATGACAAGACCTTTACTTGGGTACATGTACCATTAATTTTAATCTGATGTCTTGACTTCGGAGTTTGGCCTACTTTTGAAAAACTTTAACCTTGCTAATATCTTCTGAATGATTGGTGCTACAGCTTCCATATTTTACTTGTGCATTCCATGTGATAAGGCCTTCCCTTGGGTACCAACATTTTTTACTTTCTGATCTTGACCTTGGAGTTTGTTTTTCTTTTGAAAAACTTAAACCTTGGTCATAACTTCTTAACAGTTGGTGCTACGTCATGCAAATTTTCCATGTGTATATACTTCATGAAAAGACCTTTGGATACCAATATTATTAATCTTGATCTTAAAGTTTGACCTTAAATGTTTTATTAGGAACTACTGGTGATAAGGCTTTCATATGTCTTATATGCATGCTTTGTGACAAGACCTATCTTTGGTACCTCTGTTTTTGACTTCATGACCTTAACTTCGGAGTCTGACCTACACAAGTACTTTTGAAAAAAAATTAAGTTGGTAATAATTTCTGAAGGGTTTTCATATTTCAATGTGTATTTCTTGTGACAAGGCCTTTCTTTGAGAGCCATCATATTTTTACCTCATGACCTTTGAGTTTGACCTACTTTTGCAAAAACTTTCATCTAGGACATGAGCTGCCTGTCAAAAGGGGACATCAGTGTTTTACAAACACTTTTTGTTTATTTTGTTTTTCTATTTTTTAATAACAATTGTGATATAATTAATTGGAGGAAAACTTAAAGGAGTAACGACTCCTTAAAAAATTAAAATTCCCAATATAGATTTTCATTTACAACAAAAGCATTATATTCAAATGGAAAATAGTATGAAGTATGAAGCTCTCTTTTCCTTTTTTTCAGAAATGAATGTTATGTCTTACCATTGACAAATCTGAAAATTTTGACACAGTGAATAAAAAGAGCAATGATTTATCATTTCAACCTGAAACTTTAAGGATATTGGCAAGAAATATCCCTAAAACTTTAAGGATATTGGCAAGAAATATCCCTAAAACTTTAAGGACGTTGGCAAGAAATAACCCTAAAACTTTAAGGACATTGGCAAGAAATATCCCTAAAACTTTAAGGACATTGGCAAGAAATATCCCAATTTTAACAGTAAAAAAAACAATTAAGTACAAATGTTTTAGGTCAAATATCATAAAATAATTATTTTTTTAAAAAAAAATAGTATTAGTAATTATAAAAAAAAAAATTGGCAGAAGAAAACAGGAATTTTAAATGGTTGTGACATTTAAATTATGTATTGGACTTCCTGGTAAGACAAACTATCGGATAGTCTGGAATTATTCACTTGGGAGTTAATCTGTATCAGAGGGTTACTCCATTTTGAGACGAAAAAAAAATTGATTTGTGATTCTTTAATTTGTATACATACAATAAATATGTTTGTAAATTCCCGGGGTATCCTCCATAAATCCGTCAGTGATGGTATATACGTACAACTTTTAGTTTCGTCAACATACAAGAGATGTACGTATGTATCGTTAGTTATCTGTGTTAAATATCTGGCTGTTTTGGTTGAATAGTCATTTTGATATACACGTAGACATTGAAAGCTTGTCAAGTACGTAACCATCTTAAAGGCTGGTTGATGTATTTTCAATTTACGACTTCACAAGTCATCATACTAGTCTTCGGGTCAGAATTAAATGGTCAGTTGACAGATCATTATAAAGGTTTGGTTGAGTGAACAGATTTTTAAAATATTTCACTGCATGTGGACAGTACGTGATCATCATCTGACCTCAATATCACAGAGCACACGTAAAAAATACAATAATTCTCCTTACTCAACGTAATCCTCTCATCCAATGAAAAAAAAAGAATCTTTTATAGCTTAAAAAATCATCCAGTACTGTAGTAATCAATATGGTGGCATATTTCTGCCCCTTGTGTGCAAATTATTTTTCTATCAAATATGTTGACATGCAAGATAAATATGTTGACATGCAAGATAGTTATGTCAACATGCAACATAACTATGTTGACATGCAAGAAAATTGCAATCAAATAAAAATCATTATAATAAACAATCTTCAAAAATCTTAAATATCGCCCACATGTGACATCCAACATGTTAGATGCTACTTATTTATGTCAACATGCATATTATTTACGTTAACATGCGAGATAAATTTGTTGATATGCAACTTATTTATGTCGACATGCAACTTATTTATGTCAACATGCAACTTATTTATGTCGACATGCAACTTGGTTATGTTGACATGCAAGATAAATATGTTGACATGCAACATTATGTCACCATGCAACTTATTTATGTTTACATGCATTTTTCAGATACAGTTCTGCTATGACCTTAACCTTAGACATTGAAACATAGTTCAAGGTCACTGCACACCCTTTAAAAGGAGACCTCAGACGAACAGATGAACGGACGGACACACTAATTACTACAGGTCGCCCGCAGAGAGGGGCCATAAAAATGTTTTATAATCTACGGTCACGTTTCTGAATCGCCAGGACATTTTATCTAAGGAAATTCAATTTATACTTTGTTGTCCGTATTATAGAAAATACTTAAAACTGCAACATCTGCTTGAATAAATTTTCGATTATTAAAATCAACTTCAATTTTACCGACAAAAAAAAAACCCAGAACGTGCCTCAATGCACGTGTCTTGGGTAGTAACGAATCTGCACGCTCGCACAAATGTTCAAATTGTGTATCACATAATTTCTTTTGCATTTAAATTCGATCATTTAATTCAAAATCTTATCATTTTTAAAATCGACCATATCTAAAAAAAAAAAAAAAAAAAAAAAAAAAAAAAAAAAAAAAAAATCGATCATATTCACTGTAAACTTTTTCGCCATTCCTGGGTCTTCAGACATTTTCATTGATTTGTGATTTCATTTTTGGATATTTACTCTTTTAAAATTATATATATATCCGCTACTCAACATAACTAAGTTGCATGTCAACATAACTTAGTTGCATGTTGACATAACTAAGTTGCATGTTGACATAAATAAGTAGCATGTTAACATACCTAAGTTGCATGTTGACATAAATAACTTGCATGCCAACATATTTATTTCGCATGTCAACATAAATAACTTGCATGTCGACATAAATAAGTAGCATCTAGCATATTGGATGTCACATGTGGGCAATATTTGAAATTTTTTAAAGATTTTTTATCATTCTTATTTGATTGCAATTTTCCTGCATGTCAACGTAGTTATGTTGCATGTTGACATACCTATCTTGCATGTCAACATATTTATCTTGCATGACAACATATTTGACAGAAAAATAACTTGCACACATGGGGCAGAAATATGCCACCATAAATCAATATTAACATTAAAGTTAGAGCTATCCATTTTGACCTCTGATGGAAATACAAATGTTATTCTAGATGGCACTTTTAATGTTATTGGTGTTCACAGTGGATGTAAATTTCTGTCATTATGTCGTGTCCAGATGTCATTAAGCCTTACCACATGCTATTCCATTAAATCTAATTTTAAACTAAATACATGGTCTTCAAAAACTATATATTTCTACTTTTACAGAAAGTCTTGTTTTCAGCCATGTGGTTGGATAAAAAAAAAATATTCTTTTGCTTTGTAGAATCCACATTCAATTTTCTATGTGAATTACATTATGCATGATCAATTTTTCAATGTCTAACTTATTCATGTTGATAAGTGAATGAAAAGAGAAAAAAACAGAGCCCCAAAAACAGACGAAACAAAAATCAACAAATTGACCTTATTATCCAAATTTATTGTGAAATATCAAATACTGCACAATTCAAATTAATTAAAATGTAATGTAAATAAATTCAATAGGCCTGAAAAGATGAAACTATATAAAAGCTTTCTGACATAGTGTAAATTCAAGTTTATTTAAATCATGACCCACGGGGATGTGTTTTTTACATGTAGCTGGAACTTATCATATTTAAACACTGTTAAACTTGATTAAAATTATGTATATAAACTTTAAAATTCTTTAAAAATTTATAATATTTTCAAAGTGGTTTCTGTGTTTTGTACACAAATACATGTACTTTTCAAGAAAAAAATACACGAAATAATTCTCTCTCTCTCTCTCTCTTTTTTTTTACACCTTCAATATTTAAAAAACAAACATTGTTTTTTAATCAATGACTATATAATTCAGGTAAATCTTTTACGACAACTGGTTTTAAAAAGTTGCCAAAGTGTGACCTCCCTCCCATGAATATCTTTCCTGTCAAAACAGGTTTAATATAAACATTTACACACGTATCTGTCCGTCATCCCCTGGCCTACGTTTTACATCTACCCAGTAATTGAACATAAACATGTAAAGAAAATAAAATCTATTTTTCTACCAAACAAATAAAGTAACGTACCGTTACGAGCGTAGTCACGATCTTCTGTCCGAGGCCTGCGGACCGTAGCGGGGTGGTATAAAGGACTCGGGCGTCAAGGGTCCTACGCAAGTCGCTCAGAGGAGGCAACATGAAGATTAACTTTTTACTTGTTTTGTTATTGGGGCTATTGGCTGTATCCTATGGATTCCAGGTTCGTTCACTTATTTTTCTTATTATCAAAAAAATATTTCAACTTTAAAAATTTGATTTACATTTTTTCTTTTTCTTTATAGATTATACATGTACTATATTTGTTCTTTTCTGTAAATTTTAAAATATAATTTTATGAAGGCTTCCGTAAAGTATTTATTTTTTAAGCTAGAAATTTATTAACATGACTGGGAAATATTGTGAATGCAGCATACATTATTCCACATTAAAAAGCACCCATTTCTAAATTAAAAGCGCTTTGTTAAATATGAAAACAATCTGAAAAAAAAATACTAAAAAGAAATTTGAATGATAAAAATTGAATTTAAGCTCTTAGAGACTTTTTAAATAGATACAAATTTAATTGAAAAACAAGCGCTAACAAATCTACCGGCAGAGGATAAAGGTCGATCAGAAATTGAAACAAAAAGACTGCTAGATAAATGGTTGTTTGGTATGACGTTTAAGTACTCTAAATGGATAATTTATTTTTTCTTTGAATATTTACCCCCCCCCCTTTTAATGAGAAAAGGGAGGGGGGGGGGTCACACAGTAATCTGATATAAGTGTTATTATAATTCATTTGTAAAAGCTTGTCAATTTACGGGAAAAAAGTAAGTTTTAAGAAAGGTTTTCTAACACAATATATCACCTCTGACTTAATATGTTTCACCATATTTTTTGATATTTAAAGATATAAGGTCTGAGACCCCCCCCCCCCCAAAAAAAAAAAAAAGCAAATAAAAATGCCTGCCATTTATCCCTAGATGAAATACTCAGTATGCCGTCATCTTCCCAAGCCAAGGGTATCTGATCCACTCCGCTCTTATGTGGAGCCGAGTGGATCAGAAATCCTCGACTTGGGAAGATGTATGCCGTGGACCCTTCATAGAACCTGTATTTTAATAATGTGACGGGGTAAAATTAAGGACCTTCGAAAATGAGCATGAGAAGATCACTACTGAATAAATTTTTCGCTCTTGTAAGGATTTAAAAGGTGGGGAATAATATCAGAGCCTCGGGTAGTTTATATATCTAGCCAGATCTAGTATAATTGGTTTAATTGCTTCAGTAGATTTAAATGAGACCAGTAGCCTTAAGAAAGAAAAACGATGAGAAAAACGTAGGGATCGTGGACAATTAGAAAACATCGTGCAAATGACCAAAGATCCTTTTCTACTTCAAAGCATAATTTTGCTCGGAAAGTCCAAAATATTTTATGTGACCACCAACTTAGCTCTAATACGTACTACATGTATCAAGTACTTCTTAATCATCCTTTTTTTCTAAAGCATTTTTCTTTGATAAACAATGAAAAAACCCAATAAAAATCAACTGAAAATAAGAGCAAAGTTTGGAGACGGCGCACAAAAAAAAATAAATAAGGAAAAAATATAAAAACAAAAGCACACCTTTGTTTATAAACATAGTTGTGTTTGTACTAGAGTATACGTAAGACTGTAATGCTTTATCTAAATTTCGGAGTCATAATTCATGCAAATGACATCAAAATGAGGATTGTTTTATTTTTCAGCTCCGTGGAAGAAATCGCGGAGGCAGCCGTGGAGGAGGAGGAAATAGGGGAGGAGGTGATGATGATAACGATGATGACGGAGATGATGGGGAAGAGGAAGACGATGGCGGACGTCGGGGACGTCTCCCTAGACTTATAGTTGAGGTGATTGCCAGAAGAATTCAACAACAGCTCCAAGAATGCAGCGCACCAGGTATGAAAAAACACTGAGGATGTGTGACAGCATATAGGCTGATATATAGCCCTTCTAAATGTTCAAATGTGCCAATAAGGCAATCATTCCTTCAATCAATGAATTAAACTTAGCAAAGCTCTGTGCAACCCCTTTAGTTTTACTAATATCGTTGTAAGCAAAGATGTTAAAGTAAATGCATATCTTAATGTTTAATGGCAGTAAATGTTTACATGTATTGATTTGTTTTATACAGAATTGGAGCAATCTGTGACGACATATAGAGGTAAGTTTTTGTGACGTCATACAAATGTCCCACAAAACATCACCGACACAGAATCAAAAGATACTAGCATAGAAATACTAATTAATTCAGAACAAAACTACAGCCTACATATTTTCTAATCATTAAAATAAAAAAACTACTTTTTTGTTCCTTCGAGATTTAGAAAAGGCAGAGTAATTAACCCAGCGTTATTAATGATCGATTCCTTCCTTTACAGATGCTTTCGCTGGTTTATCTATGCTTCTCCTCGCCGACTGTAGCGGTAAGTCAACCCACTTTATTTTTTATTAATTGTACTCTTCCTCTGTTAAGTTATACCTACATGTATCTCCTCACTCTCTACCATCGGGCTCATACATTCACGTGTCTGAGAGAGTAACGAACGACAACTCTGCATGGGAGATTGGTATCTCCTGCGTAAGGCTGGGTCACACCTTACCGGATAACACCAACGGACAACAAACGGATGAAAAAGGGCAGAAGATCGTAATTCCGTTGGTTATCCTTTGAAATGAAAAACACTCCCGCCGCTTTTCGAGGCTGTTGATTCTGCATATTTGACATTATCAATACCTCAACTGTTCTAATTAGCGCTCAGTCACAACTTACTGGATAGCTAACGGACGTCAAACGGATGGCAAATTTTTTAATCCGTTCGTCTCTGTTCGGATGTTTCTTGTCCGTTTCTAACTAAGTGAATACGTTCAAGGTCCTGAGAGGCCCGGTGGTAAGTTGGAGCATATTCAAAACCTGGAATGGACGCGACAAAGGTGTCCGCTTAAAGTGTTTTGCTCATTCGTTCAACATGCACTATGTTTATTCATTACTGAAACGATGACGTTGACCGTTGCTTCTATGAAACATGTCTGATAATCGCACGGTTTAGTCCATTTTATCTATTACTTAATTCATACGTTGTTTGCACCTTTCGAGTATCCAGGTCACTCAATTTTAAAGTATGCAATGCTCGGACTGTTGAATTTAGTACTGATGTAGGGGTTGCCATGTAAATAATAAATTTGAATTGTAATTTGATTCATATTAACTCATGAAAAAGTATGCTTCTGATAGGAATAATCTACAATGTATCTTTGAGTGCAGTTCTTATCCGTGTATCACTGTCAGAAGCTCACAAGACATTAACCTTTGGACAATGTTGTAGGTGATGGATACACAGGACCAACACCTCCAGGACCCTCAGGGTCACCACCAACAGGACCCCCACCACCACCCCCTTCTACTGGTAACCCTCCTGTAGCCTCCAGTGTCGTCCCCGCCCGTGAGTTTGACGATAAAGTTGTCCGGGAACTGCTTGCTTACTTGGAAAGGAAGGGGAACTAAAAAGACCTTAATTAGTATCAGACACAGAACACCCCAAAATACTGAATTTTTAAAAAAAAATTATATATATTTATCTGAAATCCATTTTTCCTAATTGATTACAATTGGTTTTAAAATAAATTTCAAAAGACTGGAGAATTTGTATTTACTTAAGTAGCTAAGTCATCATTTGGAATGCATGAATAGAAATAAAACTCTTCATGTGGTAAGAAGGAAATGATATTGAAGAAAACAAAATAATTTTCTCCCAAATGCGTTCAAATAGCTTTCTAGATCCGTTGTTCGTTAAAACAAACAAACAAACAAAAAATGAGAGGGAAAGAAGAAAAAATTCGATTACTCAAAGACAATCCTGAAGATGAATTAAAATAATTAAAAAAGAATACTTTTATCTGGAGGTGAATTTGCCTGTTTTCTATTTTTAAAAATTGCTGATGGATTGAACGAAGTACTAAAACTTCACAATTCATTTCCGGTGACCTTCACTTTCTTGACTGATTCGAGATTGTGCCAAACCTTTCAAATACCAACCATATTTTAAGGAAAAATATGAAGCTTTTAACAGTATCAGCGATATTGTATGTTGTAGAGAGTCAAGGAGCTGGGACAAACAGACAAACTAGTCTTTTCTGCATGATAAAATTGCTAATGGCATATAAAATTTAAACAATATTTTATTATGATTAAACATAACAGGACTGGACAGCAGGCACTGCCTATATAAGTCATAATTATCAGTCATATATGTTAAAATGCAAACTCATATAGTATCATCAGCTCATTTATATTTTTTCCTGCTTATTTTGTCTTTTGTATAAATCTCTTTAGAATATACAGGTGTACATATTTATATTTTTTCAATGTTATGTAATTAATATTTACTTGTAACATGTATGACTTTGACCTGTATTATGGAGAGGATAATACAAGTATAAACGTGAAAGTTAATAAGAACACATAAATAGATGTTGGTTCTGTGGTTTGACAAAATTAAAAAAAAGAAGAATCAATATCATGCAAATCTCTTTGTACATGCAATAAATTCTTGAACAATTTTAAATACGGCAATATTTTGGTTGTAAGTAAGATTATTGTCTCCATTCAAAATAAGTTGTAAGGATATAGGCATTGGTAATTGCAAAGTATTAAAGTTTTGCAAAAGGTTCTGCCTTTGAACACAATATTTTGGACATTTCATAAAAAAGTGAAATGATGTTTCTGAACTATATCCGCACATGTCACAACTTTAATCTTCCTTTAATATTGAAACCTTTCTACACTTTCATCATTCAAGACTGCCATAAAGAATATATACTGCTTAAAACCTAAGAAATATTACAACTATGGAAGTCGTAAAATGAATATATTGCATTGTCAATTGCGAAATAATGCTAGTAATTTAAATGCTGACTTATTTAATCATTTTTAATGACATCGTTTAACTGTGTATAGACATGGACGCTTTTCGGGTGTTCGAATATTTTTAGTAATGAACAAATAGAACTACAAATATTTTTGATTTTGTCACCACCACTAGCTCTGCATTTTAGGTCTTGAGATGAAAAGATGGCGTAGATGGGTCATTTCATCTGTAATTTTGCCCTTTCTCTGTCTTTTAGTGATTATTCCCTCCGAAACTTAAACACTCCTTTAAGGTAGTACACAACAGATAGGCCAAATTTTTCCTCAAATTCAATTTTTTGAAACTTTGAAATTTTGTTCTAGAATACAAATCTCTCTTTATATGTGATTTGAAAGAAATTCAATCGCACATTTTTCGCCTTCATAGTTTGAAATACCGCTTATCAGATCTCTGAAAGAAGATTGTGAAATCAGACATTTTACTTTAGAATATGCATTTTTTTAAATTACTGATTGATCTATTGCAAATTTGTGTGATGCTTTTTATAAATACAACCTTTCGGGTACAAAATTTCAGTAAATTATATTTATACCTGTATATTTAATTAAAATGTGATGAAAAAATAGAACATGCATAGCCCAGGAATTGAAATTCACAAGTACGAATGCTACACAAGTTTTCTTAAGAGAAAAAGTATAATTCAATTTTTACAAAAAATCAACAGATTGATTGAAATGGAACACAGATTAAAATGTGTCAAAATGAGGAATTGAACCGACAGTTTCAGATATATATTTTGGCGATTGAAAAAAAATATTCAATGCAAAAAGTTAAAAGAATAAGTAGATGCCGTCACAATTTTTACCTTTGACCTCTAAATATGACTTTGACCTTTATTGTGTATAAAGAATGGGGACTCCTTATAAATATGTCCAAATTCCAAGTCTCTACTGTAATGGGATCAAAAGTTACTTTGCATTTAATAACAGACTGTCATATCGCATGTAGACGGCATAAACACATTCTAAAATGTAGGTTGTCGAATGACTGATATATAGGATTCTCTTATTTTTTATAAATATGGCAAAAAAAAAAAAAAAAAAAAAAAAAACACACACACACACACACACACACACACACACACACACACACACACCCCCACACACACACACACATGTCACAGGTTATTAATTTCCTTACAAAGATCATTGATTATTGACACATTGGTAATATTATTCTTTTTTTTTTCTAGTATATTTAAAAAAATTGGTCAAAACAGATTTCATGTGTGTTTCTTACTACCTTAAAACAAATAACTAAATGGTGACATAATATTTGGTCAGTATTTAGCCTATTATTTACTGTCCCTTTTATTTGTCGATCTCGAATAAAAAAAAAAAAACAAAATAAATAAAATTTAAAAAAAAAAAAAAAAGGACTTGTGTCTGGCAAACCATGATAATGACCATTTGACCCTCTGTTTATCTCAATGTCTGAAAAGTTTAAATGGGATAAACTGGCTTACAAAAATAAATATTTGTGAATATATCAAAGGGGAAAATGATGAATTGCTTTCAAATGATCTTTGCATTTAAAGAAATGGAAATAAATTAATCTTGGCAACAAGATCTATCTGCGATTTGAACACCGTAAAAGCATATATAGTGTTTAGTTAAAGTGATTCGGTAGGTTTCTTTTCGGTATAACAATAGCAAACAGTAATCGATATAAACATTATCATTTCCTTCATAGTTTATATTCTGTACTTCAGAAATTTGACAATTTCAAATCTTTAGGAAAAGGGTAAAATATACGTATAAGATTAAAGAAAATTTTGCGACCCCGACATTTCTACCAACCACTCATCTATAGCTTTAGGTTATTTCATTATGGTTCTTACTTTCCATGATGATAAGATATAACCCATGTGATTCGTATGAAAAGAAATGGAGATGTATCTTAGAATATTAAGACATTCATTACCGGAGAAAACTGTCCACAGCATGGTACCGGTTTTATTTTAACAATATCCAGATTTAGGCCTCCGGCTATACTAGCATAAGTCTTTTTCTCTTATAATGTGTCCACAGATTAAAACCTCGAGACAAGATTTAAATCTTACAAAATTGCTGTATAGATATATAACTGGATATTCTGCTTTTGGAATATTTCTCCGTTTTTATTTACTGTCTGCATATTATCGTGTGAAATTGTACTTTTTTTTTATTCCATCAATGTCCGTTTCAAGGCCCAAAGTGCACAAAATTGTCAAAATCTTTAAATTGGCGAGCTTTAAATTTCTTCCTTAATGTACAGAGCTACTAAGAGCTATTACGGTTATAAAAATATTTTTCTAGAATTGGAAGCTCCTTAATTCTTTGATGCACATATTCATGTATTAAAAAAAATTGTGCACAATTGACACAGTATTAAAATTGTTGATATTTCGGACATTTGCTCATGTAGATATCATAAGTACAGTATGAATTCTATGACATTATAAACTTTATGAAAGGACATTTCATTAACTTGACCAACTTTTATTTCGGCGAAAAAAGCTCTTGTCTGCCCATAGCAGTATGCAAACTTTTTTAAACAGATAATTTTTACAAAATTAAAACGTTTCTCCACATTAACATTTTAATCTTTTGTGGGAAAGTTAAATGATTAAAGCTTGATACAACTGTAAATGCCTATTCAATTCAAAAGAAGTAATAGATGGCACAAAATTGTAAGCTGTGCTGGATGTCGTAAAATGAGGTTTGTTACATTTATTTATAGACAAACTGAACTTTTCTCATATTTATTTGAAATCTTCTGTATTTCAGAGTGCAATAAGTTATGTGTTTGCTCATTTAAGAGCCATTCTTTGTAATGACTCGAACGTTTATTTAGTAGCTGTAGCAAGCATAATCTCAGAATTCCTCCATATACTCTGTATGTTAAAAATCTTTTATACTGTTAACTCAAATCGGGCTAAAATTGGTTGCTATGTGTCATGGTTACCATGGCAACATGCCCATAAGTTTGAAAAATGGCATTTTTGAACATGTTCAGAGCCCCATGGTTAACGTTTGCAGCAATACAGACAAGTGGCAATGACCTTTTCCAAAGTTGAAAGTTTGATGTCTTTAATGCATAATAAACTTTTCTGGTAAATCAACTACTACATACGTTACTATGGAAACAAAGTATTTAGTAGTTTTTTTTATTCATTCATTTTTATAAAATCGTGCACTCAAAAATAAAGGCAATTGTAGGTTGAAATGCAACCAAATAATAGAAAAAGATCTTTGTAACATATTCAAAGGAAGAAATGTGAAATATCTTACTAGTTAACAATGGTTGCTATGGTTTTCATACAGCAAAAGTTTTCCAACGTACATGTAATATTTTCATCTGAACCTATATTTTTAAAGAGCACATTTCTATATAACTGTTGATCAATTTTCAAAGGGTATGATGTGGTCCAAATTTTCAAACTTCAAAACTTTCAAATTTAATTCTAAAAATAGAGCGTCACTTTGGAAATTATGGGGAAATTATGCATAAAAAGCTGAAAAAAATATTTCGTTTCCATGAATATGTACCCTTGTATGAAGATTCCCCAAACTTTTATGATTGATTTCTGAAGAACAACTAAGCTAATATTCAGTTTTAACTAACGAAAACCT